AAGGGAAAATACATTTACAGTATTTATTGAGAAAATCCATGGATTAGTGGACCCATGCAATGCAAACCCTTGCTGTTCAAGGGTCAACTGAATTCAGCTGTTGAAATGCTCCATTTGTTGCATATCTATTTTTTCCTTCCACTGAGCTGAAATTTGCCTCTGGCCATGACACTTAAGATTTGCCCTCTAGAGCAAAGAGCAAAGAGTTATGCTCTTTGTGGCCATACTTTAAGTACTTGAAAGCAGCTAAGCTGTGTTCTTTCAGTCCTCCATGTCCCTGACAACATAACCTCAGTAGCATCCATACAAGATAGTTTCTAGGTCCTTCTTCATGGTCATCCCTCCCCTAAATTTTCTCGCATTTGTCAATGTCCCTATTTCATCGTGTCCTTCAACAAACTGTTCATTACACTATGCACCAGACATGGTTTGACAGAACAGTTTAGCAGACCTTATAATGGACTTTATAAAAAATGGTATGAGACAGAATTACTTGCATCATCATAAACATTTCAAAGTATGCTGGCATAGTAAGTTTTGAAAGATATTACATGAAGATTTACAGCATATCCACAAATTGAAACTATTTTACAGTATTCACACAAAAAGTTGTTGGAAATTGTTTTAAAACAAGTAATCAATTTAGATCACATTTTAGTCAGCTTCTTTGCTTATTCTGATATAATTTTAGTGTCTATGTAATAAAAAGTTAACAATTACCATTTTATATGTTTTTTCTAATTCAGTACCTACCTTCTTGTCTTATTTTTATTGATATTCTAAATTAGTAGGTTTTTCTAAGGTTGGAACGCTTCTATAAACACTCTAAAATTAAAATTTTTATGATGCAAACTGTAAAATAATAACATATAGACTTAAAATTTTAGTTTTATGGAACTATTACTGGGCATTGCTATTAAGAGTACCATTTAATACACAAAGGATTTTTCTGAATGGATTTGTAGTTTATGCCAGTAAATTAAATAAATTTTACTGAATTTCTTAAATATAGTAAATAATTTGATTGTTTTTCAGAGTCAGAAGTGCAATGGTTCAGCTATGTGATGTTTTAATATTTTTAAGATGTTAAACTATGGTAGTGCTTAAAATAACTCTTTTTACCACTGATCCAAAAATTAATCTTGGTGATTGTCATATTGCTACTAACCTTATGTTTTCAGATGAATGCATTTGTATTCTTACTGGCAAGGTGAAATCTTACATGCAATATAGGTGACTCGGTATGTACTAGAGTGGTTTATATTGAATTGCCGCTTGGTTCTGTTCTATGGGTCCTCTGATTCAGTTGCACCAATGCCATCAAGCAGGGAAGCATTCAGATTTAAAGTATCCATTTTTACTTGTAGTGCCTTTATTTAAAATATATAAAGCTGTGTTTATAGTGTTTACTGAATTAGGATTGAAGATAAATAATATACTTTTATCATACTGGATTTAGATTGTGGAAACACTTAAAACTTCATGCATAGTATTTCTGGGCCATTATCTTCTGCAAAAACTGGGCAATTCAATTTTTGTGAGATCAGTTTCTTATAGAAAAACTTGTTCACAAAAGATAAGAAAGAAGTCAAAATTTCATAAAATAATTTCTATTTTAAAGTAATTTAATTCAATTCTGAAACTGTAGACACATATCCTTATGATGGGACAGAGTGACGAACATATTACAGACTATAGTTTGTAAGAATACAAGGTTTTATTATAAAATACATAAATAAATATTCAAAGCCTAAGGCAGATAGGAAGAGAAAGAGACAATACCCAGAGCAAACCCAGAAGATTCCCTGTCTGACCCCACTATTCACAGGGTGCTAGATAAGGCTTGGCCTCTCTTGGTTGTAGTTTCCTCATCTCTGAAAAGCAGGAATTGAACTTCTTATCTCTCATGCGCTTTTGGTTCTAAAACTCTGTCTTTTAAGGAGGGAGCCGTAATGAATCTGCAAACGATTTTCCTCTGTGCTTTATTGTTTGGCTTTTGATTTCCAGTTCTCTTTTTAAAGCTATTTTGAAAACATAAAGAAATCCCTCTGCATTTTGAAATATCGTTAGCCTTTTGCTGAGCAAAAGCAAATAAACATTTAAAGTACAAACACCTTATTTATAAAGCAGTAGTTAAATTGTAGCAAGTCAGAATCCCTTGAAATGATCTAGCCCCATGACTTTTCTGGAGGTTTGGGTGTTTTCTTGGGGGGAAGGGAATGAGTTTATCTTCCTATAAACAAAATCAGCAAGAGTAGTTCTTTTGACCTGATTAAAACATGGGATTTAAAAAATAATTTTGCTAGGACTGTTTTCAGTAAGTCAGCTCAAAAAAGTTTGATTGCATATGACTGTGCAACTACTCAGAAGAAATCAATATTGATGGTGGTATGTTTCCCCTCCTCACATTTTCTCGATACAGAATAATGATTGGATTTAACCTTTTTTTTCTTCATAGTTAAACAACTCTTGAATGTGAACTCCGGAAGTGACAGTATTGATCAGTATTATTCACAAATGAAAAGAAACATTTGTAAAAGTATAGTAGAAGGAAAATAATCTTTGTAAATGGAAAGAGAAGATACGGGAAAAATTATGAAAACCTTCAACTATAGTTTGCTGTTTGTATATAAGCTGAAGACTATAATTTTACTGAAAAAGTTTCAATTTAATGGCATTTCTTAGGAGCAAGCATTTTTTAACATGCACACGTACACATACATATACATATATATATTAAAATATAGTTGTGGAAATAGTCATGACTTTCCCTGAAATTTTTACTCTCTTTGGTTGGTATGATAGTCTTTAAAAAAATGTGTATTTGTTCGAAATCTACAAACTGCAGGAATGCTATTAAAGATTCATTTTATTAGCATGTATTAAGGGGGGGGTTCTTATTTTCTAACTAACATTTCAGTATTTTTAATTAAGATAAACCATGTAACACAGACTCATAAATTTGGGGACAGTGGAAATTATTCCTTTGACTCTTTTTTCTGCATATCATCAATTTGCTTTTTACTCATGTTTCTTCTACTGTCGCTGTAAGCTTACTTGTTGTTTTTTCTTTCTTTTTCTTCACGCTGTCGTTTAGAGCCCTACAGAGAGACAAGTATGGGAGTAAAGCTAAACATTGCATATCAAATGTAATTTTTTTCAGTTCACTTTTATTGCATCACATATAGATGATGTAGTTATTAAAAACAGTTCATCTCACAATTTAAAAACTAAAGAACCTATAAACCGACTTATATTAATATGTTAATAGAGATTAGACGCTTTTGTTGTCTGATTCTTTTACTGTGTCACATAATCAGCATAGTTGTTAAGTCTCATGTAATGTTTGTGTGAGTTAAATTGTTTTTAAATGAAGCATTTATTTTTGCTAATTCACAAACTTTTCATTTTTATTGGTACATTCCATCATACAAGTGTATGTCATATGCAACATACCCACTTTAATTTTACCATGGCTGTTTTCAACCTGCACCTAATGCATTGACAACAGAAATGATAAAAACGTTTCAATGCATCAGTTGCTCGACCATAACCATCACGCATTCTCTGCAGCAGCGATCACCCATCACATACGGCCCTTTAAAAAGCATTTCCTTTTTTTTCTGGACATTGTGGATTTGTCTACAAGATATCTTATAACATGAAAATAAATTGCTTCACCCTATGTCTGTGATGGCTGCTTTTTTGTGTATTTTATGCATTGCTGTTTTTGAAAACTGTGACTTGAATACAGAGTACTCATCGGAAGTGTATGTAAAAATTGACATATTTGGGGCACTTTATTTAAACCAGCAGTGAACAATTCAGTTTGGATAAACATCACTGCATCACAGACATAGAATGAATGCTGTATTTTCACAAGTTAGCAGTATATTGAGAGGTTTAATAGAATTCTTCAATTAATTGTTCTGTAAAGAAATACCTTTGCTTATTTACCACTTACTTAATTGAATGTTTGTTTAATTTTCTTTCGTGGTTGCATTTGAAGTGAGTTATGAAATTATTATAGATTCTTGGATTTCTGTTCCTTTAGAAGAATGGAAAAACTTGAATAAGCATGTGTTCAAATTTGTTTCACTACAGCTGTTCCTTCCCAGAATACAATGTTTAATCTCTTCTTAGACCCAGAGTTTAATATAATATACAAAGTCATCACTCATTATGAAATGGAAACACTATGTTTTTAGAAATCAAATTCTGTGTCTTTACACATTCTTTTGTAGTATTATCTAATGACCCTAAGTAATTACTAATGGGTTAATATAAAATAGCAACCAAAATGCTTGTAGCAGGAAAAAAAAGGAGAAAGTAATGACAAATATTTTTGTCTTACAAGTTCCTATGTGCAAATTACTTTGATGTGCCATTTATTTGACTAAACATTATTTTATGACTACATCATTCTGACAAATTAAAAGTAATCCTTATGTGGTTTTCTATGTAGGGATTATTTTTAGTATTATAAAATTATATATCAAATTATTAGAAACTGCTTGATTCTTTCACTTTGACCAGTATAATTAAAATACCACACAGAAATTATGTTACTGTTATATCTATTTCAGTGTTAAAACAACATGTTAAATCAAAGGTAATTAATTATTACATTGACTTTGATGTGTATAAATTGAAAGCTGAAACCCGAATTTTGCATTATTTTTTCTAAGTTCTAATGAAATAGACTTTAAATAATTTTAGGCAGTATTTGTTTGTAAATTACAAATTCATAGTTTTTTACATTTATTTAAAATCCATCTTTTCCATTTATAAGATTTCTATCAATTTTCCAAATATATAGATAGATATGTATATTAGATTTAATAGTGTTTTTTGTTTATTTCCAAACATTTTATACTTAATTTAAAATGCTAGCAATTTATACATGCTTCATAGTCATCTGTTTTTGCTTTTGTGTTTGTGTGAGTTCTTTGGGTACTTGGATATAAATGTCATAGTGTTTTGTCATTCTTTTTTTCCAGAGGGGCTTCTGAACAATGCCAGGGATACAAGTGTCATGGATACTCTACCACTGAATGGTAACCATGGCAATAGTTACAGCATTGCCGGCGGCGAATACCTGAGCAACTGTGTGCAAATCATAGACCGAGGCTATAACCATAACGAGACCGCCCTAGAAAAAAAGATTCTGAAGGAACTCACTTCCAACTATATACCTTCCTACCTGAACAACCACGAGCGCTCCTGCGAACAGAATAGGAATCTGATGAACAAGCTGGTGAATAACCTCGGCAGTGGGAGTGAAGATGATGCCATTGTCCTGGATGATGCCACTTCCTTTAGCCACGAGGAGAGTTTGGGTCTGGAACTCATTCATGAGGAATCCGATGCTCCCTTACTGCCCCCAAGAATTTACTCCACAGAGAACCACCAGCCACACCATTACACCAGAAGGCGGATCCCCCAAGACCACAGTGAAAGTTTTTTCCCTTTGCTAACCAACGAGCACACGGAAGATCTCCAGTCACCCCATAGGGACTCTCGCTACACCAGCATGCCGGCACTGGCTGGTGTGCCTGCTGCAGAGAGTGTTACCACCAGCACCCAGACCGAACCCCCACCGGCCAAATGTGGTGATGCCGAAGATGTTTACTACAAAAGCATGCCAAACCTAGGCTCCAGAAACCACATCCATCAGCTGCACACCTACTACCAGCTAGGTCGCGGGAGCAGTGATGGATTTATAGTTCCTCCAAACAAAGATGGGACCCCTCCAGAGGGAAGTTCAAAAGGACCTGCGCATTTGGTCACAAGTCTATAGAAGATGAAAGAAATTTAAATCGACAAAACTGCTAACACCTGGTTGACTGTTCTGAGTTGCTATAAGCAGTGGTAATAATATGTGTACTCCTAAATCTTTATGCTGTTCTTGAATGACAAACACAAACTCTCAGACTTCTTCTTTTTTTTTTTTTTTTTTCCAACTGGGATTTTTAGGTCAGCCCAGGGGAGAAAGGTAACTGCTGAAATTCCCCGGCACCCTGTCCTTTCCTGTCCTTTCCCCGCTCAGATGGAGACTTCATTATGTTAATGAACGAGATATGAAGAAAATGGCGCTCATTGTGGCCTTGTTGAATGATGTTGTGTTTGTTCTAACATCTCTGATGCTCTGTTACTATAATTACAAGGACCTGATTTTTAAAAGGCCAGAAGAGTTGTTGGAAATTAGTAACAATGCTGCATCTAGATTGGAGTGCTGCACAAGCAAACATAAAAGCAAAGCAAAACTGTATCGCATAGTGATTTTTAGTCACTCTCAACCTGAGTTCATCACAGTGGTAATAGCTGTGGTATACAAAATAAAACAACAAAATTAATAACAACATGGAAGGGAATTCTAGGATTATATGCTAAATGCATATTTAATGATTTGCTGTATTAACTGATGATAAAACTAATGGCAGAGAAAAATGAACAATTTCTATGTAATGTACAGATACTAGCATTGCACATATAGTCTGCTTTCTGTTCCTCCAGAATTTGAGTCCTGTTAATGTAGTGCAAAAAAAAAAGAGAGAGAGAGAGAGAAATTTTCTTTTTCTTTCATGCTGGTCTTGCAAGTTTGTCTACCAGTAAGAGAGCAAAGTTTTCTTCCTTTTTTGTTTTCTTTCTTTCTTCACTTTTTCTTTCTTTTTAATCTTTTTTTAAAAATTTTTTTGCTTATTTCTTTAGAATGTCACCCGGCAAAAAAATAAGTAAATAAATAAATAAATAAAACTATCACTTTATAAAAATCATTTTCTAGTAATGCAAACAAATTATTTTTTACAAAAAATAAAATAAATAAAATTAGATTTACTTCCCTAACTATATATCTTTATTCAGTAAGAATATTCCAAGAGCATTTTTGCAAATTAGAGCAGGACAAACTTTTATGTTTACAGTGCACATCTGTTGTAATGCAAGTTATTGGGCAAGCAATTCATCCACCAAGATGGTAGCTATGGTTCTAGAAGTCAAGAGGTGTCAATAGAACTAGTGGGGCTTCTGCATGTGAAAAAAATGGTATCCAATAGGCATTAAAGTACCGAATGTTCAGTCTGAACCGAAGTGGGTACCTGCACTACCACTTTTTAAAGGAAATTCACACCCTTGTAGTAAGAATCAAGATCAAGTTATTTTGAAGTGATTTTTTTGGGGGAAAAACCTCTTCTGTTTATTAACAGGAAAATTTATTTATTTGACAGGATTTTAAGTAATGTAGGAAAACAAGAGGTAAATTAGCAGCACATATAATTTTTTTTAAATTTATGATCCATTTTGTATGGTCTCAAAGTTGGATGACCTCATTACTAATATTTGTTGTAAAAGTGAAACTTGTTTGCCAACCAATAAACAACTGATTGAGATTTAGTAGATATTGTATTGATGTATGTACTATATGATTAATTATTCTTTTTATTTTTCTCACCTTTCTTTCCTCCTGTTTTCAGTATATAAACTTAATCCTCTGTGGCCCAAATGAGGCATGAAAAAGAAATCAATCTGCTTAAATGAATAACCTAAGCACAAAATGATACAGCTTTTGCAGACAGACTAAACCAGAAAAAATGGGATGGACATGTTTATGTTGGCTGAAATAAGATGCATAATTTACTTATGAGCAGGTTCATTTATAGGTTACCATGTGGTTATTTATAAACTAGCTGCAGTCTCCATGTGCTTATTATAAAAACCACTCTCAATAAAAGATTTAAGTATTAAATTGGGGGGGAGTGGAGGTAGATCATATTTTTTCCTCCCTTGCGAACCCCATTTTGATGTTAGAAATTTAAATTCACACAATTGGCAAAATGTTGCAAGAAAAAGAGCAAAGAGAATATCCAGTTTCTAAAGATAGTATAAGACATTTTAAGGCTATTTTTTCTTAATGTATATATAAGGAGAAATGAAAGGAAAAATGTCCTTTCAGATAGACTTTCTAGATCTCCAGTTACTGAAGAACATTTATCAGCAGTGCCCAAGCATGGAATCTCGCCTAGGGCAAAGCTAGAATGAATTTGCCAAGTTATAATTTCTCCTGTAGTATGTAATATCTTGGTGATTTCCTTTACTTTTTCTTTTACATTCCTCAGAAAACACCATCCACCTATGATTTCTTAAAATAAGATGGGAAGGAGTAGTTTAGAGACTCACCAATTATATATATATACATATATTTAATTGTGTATATATATATAATTTAAAATATAAGAAAAGAAAACATTTTATGCTGGGTCAGAGTACATCAGAACATTATTATCAACTAAAAATTCCTTATGCATCTAACTTTTTTAGTCCCTTGACATGAGTGTTTTCTGTCTACAGATTTTCTTTAAAATGTAAAGTTTTGGAGAACCACAAACTTTAGCAGGTATTAGATTTCTCACACGACACTATGGCAATATTAGCACCTGAAAGATGATTAGCTTGCCTGGAACAGAGAATCCAATTTGGCAATGAAAGACCCGTTTTTAGACATACTGGAGGTAACGTCAGAAAACAGTAGTGCGGTCTGTGGGTGTTGAGTACCTAAGCTTGTTTTGCCAATCCAGTAGTAATCTCTGTCAGTAAAAAAGCTAGTTTCACAGCTCAGTGAGGAAACTACCTCAATTCAGTTTGCTGATGCTGCCAATTCTGATTTTCTGATATTGCTACCTCCATGCCCACTATCTTTTTTGTTTCATTGTATGGAAGTTTGAAGCAGGTGCCTCCCCAGCTCTCCATAGACCCAGTAGAAGAAAATCTCTTGAACACATACACTGGTGCAGAAGGCCTTCCAGTACTGTCAGGGTAAGGGTGAGGGTAAGGTTTTGGAACTGTCCTACATTATTAACTGGTGCACTTTCTGAGATACTTAAGATCCCAAGACTTTCACAAGAAAAGGTTGTTCCCCCAAGTTTTAGGCAATGATAAGAAAAATAAACAGTGGATAAAGGAGTTAACTATATCCATTTCAACAGAAATTTGTGTATATCTATAATATATTTATTCAGTCCCCTTTGCCCTAGCAGGGGTTGAATTCCTGAACTTGAATCTTTTTTACATGCATTTTCATATGTAACTATTGATAAATTCATAATTTTGAAAGATGTCTTGTTCTTATTACTACATTTGGTTGACTTATTTTTAATACCCTGTGATGTTCATGACCTTATCTGCATATTTCTGATGTGTGTATCTGACATTCCATTAAGAAGTAAATTTGCATAAACAGATATACACATTATCTGAGAGTTATCAAAGTGATGTCAATGAAACAAACTGATTATTACTTCTTAGTGAAATAATGTTTTTATAACATTTTACACTTGAATTTTTTTTTCTCTCTAAGGTCTATTTCACATGAAAATTTATCAGGGCACGGACTGACTGCATGTTTAGTTGATTCAAAAACTGTGGAAATATTGCACAGCTGATGTTCCTAATTGATAATATTTATAGAGAAATCTAAATTTTGTGAAGGAGAAAGTGGTTGGAAATCCAATTAAATTTTTTATCATCTCTCTTTGTTTCCATGTTATTAAAGTTTAAAACTCTATAGGAGAACAGTAAATTATTATACTAAAATAATGGTAATGCCAAAATCCTGGCATAAGAATAATTATATTGAAATAAATATAATCAGTAAAATTAATCAAATGCAAGTAATGGAAATACTCTTAACTTTCTGTTAAAAAATTCACATTGATTCTAAATTAAAATATATTTTATGATCTGTATTTTTAAAGGCCTATTAATCTAAAAATGTTGACGTATTGAAAAATTTTAAAAATTTACTGTTTTTTTATTCTTTAATACTAACAGAGGTGATGAGACTTTTCATAATAATGGAGATAAGCATATATATGTAAATTAGTAATATTTATAACAAACCCATAGACTTGATTTTGGGAAATGATTTTGGGCCTTTTCCCCACATATGTTCAAACCTATTGGCTGGTTTGCTCACTTTAAAATATATTAAAAACTTTAAAGACTGACTTTCTATATTATTATAGTCCAAAAGGGAGGGGAAATATTTTCTGGATTGTCTAAACATCAATTTCAAATTAATCAATAATCATCTCCTGTTAGTAAGAGAGTGATCAGTTTCTAGAAGATGCCCCTCATTATTGTACCAAAGTGCTACTGCTTTGGATGTTTTGGAGAGAAAAATAAAATAAAACACTATGGACCTACATGCATGTCAATGCATGTCAATTCAACTTCAGAGTGAGAAAAAGAACCCAACCCTAATTTGATTTTGAGCAATTCTGAAAATATTGACATAACGTCCTTTCTTTAGCAAAAATATTTGAGATAAAAATAACCATATGTATGATCTTTCCAGAATATTGTAGTAGTACCAAGGTATTAAATTTAAGTAGTTCATGTTTAGTAATTCATAACTATAACTTAAAACACAAACAATTACTATGCATTCCTAACATTTTAAATATATGTTAGATTTCTACACCTCCATAAATTAGTTAGGAACATGGAAGCACAACAGTGAAGCAGCAACATCGCAAAACAGCTTATGGAAGCATTTTTGTGCAAATGAATTCTGCATGAGAAGCCTCTTTGAGCTCATAAAATAGATTTGATGGATCCCAGCTATAAATTTAATTTTGTAATCAGCAATTATGTCTTCTTAAACCATCTGAAAAATATTGTTAGATATCTAAATTTTGTTTAGGCTAGTAGAAATTAAAAAGCATTGATGGCTGCTTCTTCCTGCTTAGGCCATAAGAGGAATCTTTTCTATTTGCTAATTAACCTGATTACTTCCTCTTTGCTTTAAAAAAGAAATTGATCTTTAACTTTCAATTATACACACATCCACCTACTCTGTTTCCTTTTACTCATAGAGTGAAGAGGAAATAGCTTATTTACATATCATGAACTTTGCCATTTTGCAATAAAACAGGTAGTTACTATGGTTTTGCGTATTGTCATTTGAAATAAAGTTATTGCTGTTTGCTCTTTTTTAAAAAAATTAAAATTCTGCACTTCTTTAACGTTTAAAACCTTTTAAGTTATTATTCAAGTGTCTTCATTTCAACTATGTTTTGATGTTTCTTTCTTTTAATATTAGGTCATAGAGATTTTTTCTCATTTAAATGCCCCATTAGAGTATATCAAGGTTAAATGCAAAGTATGCCTATTAAGAAGTCTTGGGAGAGAACTCTGATTTATATGCAGATGTCAAGAAAGACTATACAAAAAAAAAAAGATTGTGATAACCAAGTCTGTTCGGTCACAATATGGGCAGAAGGAGGGTGGAATCAAGTTGGCAAGTTTACAGTGAGGTAGCAGGTCCTAAGTTAGAGTTTCAGATAAAAAATTCCAGGAAAGAAGTAATGAAATAATTAAGAGTGGTAAAATTTTCAAACATGGTGTGAAATTCTATTGGCGTGCTGAAAAAAAATTGGAATTTACCATATTATAATTTTATCCTGCTGACTCCATAGCAAACCCAAACACTTTTAACACTAAATATTTCTTGTCTAGCTACACTTTCTCTCAAGGAAACATAAATATTTTATAAATATTACTTAAATATTAGTATCTTTGCCTCAATTCACTTTCACTCTCTAATCTGCTTACTCTATTGTATGCCAACACAGTTAATGCTACTTATAGCTTTGTACCTTTTAGAGCTTTATTATGAATCTTTCTAATAAACATTGATTAATATTAACTTGGAATTATGTACATTGTGCAAAAGAACTCATAGCCAAACAATATTTATATTACCAGGTAACTCATTATGTATGTGAATATTACTTTGAGGCTGAACAAATAATTACACTTCTGAAAATATTACTCTCAAGTCCTATCTATTCAATTGTTGTAGTCAATTGATAAAAGTCTGCAGACAGTTGTACACATGACGTGCTATCAGAGTACTCCATAATCCAAACGTGTCTAAAAGTATCCCCTATTATCCTCATTCTAGAATACACAAGGAAAGAACTTGAAAGACAAGAGTAAAGCCAACTCTCAAGGATTTAATGTATATCAACATTGTCATTCAGAACAAATAATTTAAAAAATTAGAATGTTTTACTCTGTGATCTAAGGGAGAGGTTAATAAAGATTTATGGTTAGTCTAATATCAGAGAATTTTACATTTTAAAGGTGTAAAGTTTGTCTCAACAGCCCAAGACTGCAGAATTTCACCCTCCATTGGCAAGAAAAATATATTTAAAATTCACACCTAAAGTGGCTTTTGAAAGTTTAAGAATTCCTCTGATTCTTCTCAAGGTAAAAATGGCAAAGAGCTCCTGGCTTCAAAATGAGACATACCATTGACCTCTAAAAATGTTTGGCAAAATTGATGAATGTCATCAACTCTTTTGCAATGCCTAGAGAAGGGTGTCCTCTTACACTGACCACTGTCTTGTCCTTGGGAGCATTTTTTTAATGCCTCGAATTTCGAGTTGTCACAATGTCTTATGTTTTGGATGCCATTATGAATTAAGAAAGATGAAGAAAAACATTTAAAGTTGGTTGTCATGCCTCACTTGAGAATAAAGATTTCCTTTCCCATCCTAAGTAATAAAGGATGATGTGTCTCGGAGCAGAGCTGTAGACAGTCAGACCGTGTTCCTTTGGAAACAAGTCCTCTTTGTATATTCTAACACCGGTCTCTGCCTAACAAACTAAAGAATCAGATTGTGCAGAACTGTAGAAAGAGCTTGGTTTCTCTTCTTTTGGCCTCTGTGAATGCGTGGGAAAGTAGAAAGACAATTTGGAAAAGATTTTCATACTGTTTTCCCACTTGCCAATCGTTAAATCTAATTCAAGATAATATATCTTTTTTAAAAAAAATGGTAGTTTATTTTAAAAACTAATAACTAATTAAGCTATTTCTCACTGATAAGAAAAATAACTTTTTAGGAACAAGAACATAGCTATTGCAGGCTTTGGTCTCTTCGTATTCTCATATATTTACACATGGCATTAATCTTATACACCTACAGATTTCAATCTACTGGATTTTTTCCTTGTACAATCTTTCCAACTTTTTTTCCCCTTTAATGCTCTGTACAATCACATGTAAAATCATGAGCTACAAATCTCAATAAAAAGTGTCAGTAAACAATAAGTGATGTAGTCACTCTTATTATATGGCAGTATCAAAATTTTGCTTTTGGGACAGTGTTTCCAACTGCTGGACTCCTAATACATGTTTCCTGATTTTCCTCACACCCTACTACACTCCTTTTCATACACTGGAAATAAAAGTGAGGTCTTTTTCTAAATTATGTTTTCAGAGAACTGCTGTGTTGCAAGGTTAATTGTTCATTTCAGGAAGGTAGAAAGTTAAATTAACTTACAGTTTGCCTGTAAAGTTGGCCACTAATGAGGTATAATCAAATGTAATCTTACATTCTCTGCCTGATCTTACTTCTCATTGCCAATTGGGGAGGAGGTCACTCAGTCATCATTGAACCTCCGTTCCCAAGGAGAGTTTGGAGATCTGTGCTATGCCACGCCACTCTTCTCTGAATAAAGGTCACAGTAAGTATCAGTCCATGTTTTGTGTCACAGAGATAGACAGCATATGCTTAATATTCTGAAATATTAGAGATCAGCAGTTCTTGATTGCCTGCTATGTGCCTGGCATGTTATATTGTTTCATTTCATATTCCCAATAATATGGTGAATTAAAATTTTTATGCTCACATTTAAGGAAATGTAAATTCAGATTTGCAATCATAGAGATAGTGAGTTTTGAGCCCCAAATCTCTCAGTCTAAAGTCCATTTTATTCTTTTTAACCATCTTATACTAAATCAAATAAGAAATTAGCCCATCTGTTTTCATTTAAATAAGGGGGCAATAACTGGCATTCAAGGAAACATTGAAAATACATTGAGCCTGCTTTTAAGGAGCTCAAAGTCCAAAGTGTATTTTACTAGTCTGTTGAGAAAGAATGAGGGGCACTCGATTCTATATCTTTGAACAAATTGCTTTTCTAAGAATAGTGTTACTCAGATCTAAAGTAAATATAATAGCTGTCTTGTATGCCATGTACACTGTACTTGGCAGACATGAAATTCTCGTCCAGAAAATACTTAAACAGATTCTGCTTCAGTACTAAGTAGACTCTGTGCATGTTATCTTCTCATTTCGATTATTACACCCCCCACTCCCATACACAGAGTAGTTAAAGAATAACTAACAGTAGATTTCTAATCAAATTCTAGTTTAAATTTAATTCTTTTAAGTACGACTGGTTCATTTCATTACCAGAGTATGTATAATAACTGCAAGTTCCTTAGTCTTTATGTACTCAATTTCTCAATATTTATCTGTATACAAGTTTTACCAACTACTAGTGCTCAAATGCAGCATTTTGTAAGTATTCAGCAGGTCTCATTTGTTGGAAAAAATGGTTTTGAGTTAAACATATTTAGGAGATGCCCGGATAAACAAAATAGATTTTTAAAAATATTTTATTTATGTAAAGAGAGAGGAAGAGAGGGAGAGAAACTTTAATGTGTGGTTGCCTCTTGCACCCCGCAACTGAGGACCTGGCTGGCAACCCAGACATGTGCCCTGACTGGGAATCAAACTGGTGACCCTTCAGTTCACAGGCTGGCACTCAATCCAGTGAGGCACACCGGCCATGGCTAAACAAAATAGACTTTTATTGTAGGATTTCAGAGTATACATTGCAAAACTACACACACACACACACACACACACACACAAACACACACACACACATATATGTTTCCTAAAAGTATCTGACCCTGAAATCCTGAAGAACAATAAACTGAGAAGTATTATTTCGTGGAACTCACCACTCAAAATGTTTTTGGTACAACCAAAATTTTGTTTGTTTGTTTTCTGTATGTTACATCAAAGCAACACTCGGCTGTGATTCCATCAATATTAATTGGCCTATTATAATTCATAATAAAATAATGCTCTAAAAGTCTCTTCACTAAATGTCTGGCCCCAGTGTTTAGGTAGAAAAAGAACAATTAATGAGAAGAGTGCTCCTGAAGAAATGTCTTCACCGTAGAACTCTTTTATTTGAGTAGAACTTCCTGTCATATCAAAGATCCGTTTGGCTTCAGCAACGGCGCACATAGTCCATACCCAACAACAGTGTTTCTCATTTGTACATACGTATGAATTACAGAAGAATCATGTTGAAATGAAAATTTTGATTTCTGTCTGTCTGAGGTGGTTCTGAGGCTCTGGGTTTCAAACAAGCTCTGGGGGTGCTTGTGTGGCTACTCCACCGAACACCAAGGTTCTTGGACTGTCTCTTCCTCAGAAACGCACTATGCCTTGCTATGGGAGATTTCCCCTTCATGGCTATCTCTAAACATTAGGGAATGTATTAGCTAAAGGAGAGGAGAAACGGAATTACTAGATTGTGTTCAACCTTATGAAAAATGTGTAAACATTGTTGGAAATATAGAGAGTAGATTCATAAAGTTAGTGATGGAAACATTGCTACCCCACCATTTTGGGTTAGAAAGGACCTGGAAAAGGAGAGACTGTCTTTATATATATATATATCACACATATATATATATATCACGATGCATATATACACAGTTATATTATTATACATAGACACAATACATACCATACATATTTGTATATACACAGCATATATGTGTTTGTATCTATATGTCCGTGCATATATATATCAGACAACACACATATATGTGGTAATTGTTTATTATGAAAGATTTTAGCAAAGCGATAGTTTCCTAATAAACACCTATTGAAAACACACTAGAAATAGTTATTAGAAATTTAATTTTTGAGTATGTAAAGGATCTTACTATTGCGATTGGAGATACTTGCTGATCTATTTATATGCAAAGTAGGGAATGATCACATAGATTATGGCAAAAAGTGAAAAATTAAAGAATGTTCAAAAAAGTAACAGTATTTTGAAATTTATTGATAAATCCATTTCTAAAAAATATGTTATAATTAAATACAGTATATTCTCACTTAAAATAATCAATAGGTTTTGCAACCTTAAGCCAAACAACAGAACGAAACCAATTTTACCAAAGGCTAATTGACATAGACAGGAATTAAGTTCCTATGGCATCTCATCAATGTTATATGAAATGACTTCAACCTAAACTGGTATCAAGTACCTGCTGCATGAGTTTCATTACAACACTAAAGTATTTATTGCCAGGGAAGGACAAAAGTCAACTCGCATTTCTCTGCTGACCTGAAGCTCTTCATCCAGGATTTACTTCCAGTCACAGCATCAGAAAAAATAAACGTCAGAGTTGAAAGTATGAAGCATGTTAGCCCTGGCTTGGTATCTCAGCTGGTTAGAGCATTGTTAAGATAAGCCAAGGTTGTGGGTTTGACCATCAGTCAGGATACATGCAAGAATTAATCAATGGATGCATAAATAAACAGAACAACAAATAAATGAGTGTTTCTCCCTCCCTCTGTTTCAAAAATTCCCCCCAGAACCTAATAATTAAACACGTTTTATAGTATCAGTAATGAAGTATCAAGAATATTAATTAATGTGCTCTGAAGGTTTTATGCATAAACTGAAACAAGATTTAGTCCACATTGGTGATTGTGTGTTAAAGTCAAAACACATCTCAATATTTTAAAAAATGAATACTTATGAATTAGATAATCCTTATTATCTAATTCATGTGATCTTTCAGATAATCACAATTCTCTAAAAACAAGACTCGTGTCTGAATATCCAAAATATTAATTCTCTGTGTATTTTCAGTTGGAGAAAAAAACTTCACTAAATGCTTTTATGTTTTTAAATTTATGATTTGCTTATGTAATATGTAAGAAAATGTATTTTATGTTTAGTACATAATGTTAATTCTACCAATTAAGCTATATTCCAAATATTGTCAGTTATTTTTAAGTGTTGGAAAAAAGATAAGGTGTATTAAAATATAAGCTCCTTATCTTGAACTTTATACTTCTTAAAGTTAATCATTTCTCACAATCTTGGAAAGTTTTTTGTGTTAATTTTCACCATTCCATTGTAAGTGATAAAATCAGAATTCCATTACTTCACTTACTTCAGAAAAACAAGAAATAGATTCAAACTGAAAAAATACAAACTTCATTAGTAAGTTCAATCTTGTATTTTAAATTTTCATTTTGAAGTGTAATGTGTTATGTTTTCATAATATAAAATATTTGAATTAATGGTAATTGTTTTACAGTTGTAACCTATGTATCATTAATTGACTAAAAGGTTAAATAGAATAACTAATGATACTTTCATTTTTAAAACTTCAAGTTGAAATAAGCTTAATTTTATAAATACCTAAAATTGAGGAGTAAAGACTAATTTAAATTTCTGTGACGAACAAAATAATTCAGTGTTATGTTTTATTCATTTATTTTGGAAAGAGGATGAATAAACATATCTTCCTATTTTCATGTGTTATTGTGAGGCCAATGAAATAATTAGGTCAGTGTTTCTCATTTTTGGCTTTTTTTAAAGAAGTATCTAAAGCATTTTTTTCTTAAAGAGAGTATTTGAGATATTGTTTTTTGACATGTGTCATCACTTTGGCTGAAATAAACTCATAAAAATTCTCTACAGGTTTGGATGTTTTTTACATGGACTTACTTGGTGTAGACAGCAGGATTCTGAAGAAGCCCACTGAGCTCCACCCTTTGGACCAGACCTGGTGCTAGGTACAAGTAAGGGCCCACTGTACCGCACTGGCTCTTCACTTCTCCTGGGGTGGACTTGGGTGAGTTTCTCTTGGTGTTCCAGGCCTCCTGTTTTAAGTAGCAAGTTTGAACGGATCCTAGAAAATCCTCAAGGTGGATAAAAGTGGAATAACCCAGAGGGTGAAAAAAAAGTGGGTTGCTGCTTTTCATTTCAACTTTTAATTGGATGTCTTGCTGACAGTCTGGGCAAAGTCTTTGCTGATTAAATGAGAGACTTAACTCTCTTTAGTTTTAGGGAAAAGGACACTTGCTTCTTTATCCTGAATAGCCAATGGAGTGACGACAGTTGTTTCAGACTCCAAATAGGAGGTGGCAGAGATGAGTAACACAGCCTATCCCCCTGTGCAATTAGAAAAAGCTGGCTATAAAATTATGCAGAATTAATAG